TTGGGCATTTTTAATCTGTAGCTCTGCTCTAAAAGAACGTACGTACCTGGCCCCGCCTACTATCCTCGGAAACGTAAAATGATTGGCTAGAATCCAAAGTGTATCACAGCTCAGGGAAAAAAAGCACCGAAATGTGCGCTGCTTTTCGGTCTGGTTAGTACCGTTTATGTCACAACCGGTGCCATCATAGCACGGGATACCGGTACCCATTACTAGTTATGAAAAACCTGAAACTGACCGATACAAAACGTTAAGCTCAGTCAGAGATTATTTTACTGAATGCTGACTCATCTTCATGATTCAGAAACTTATTGAGAACCTTGTTATTTGTCCTTGGTGTCTCCATCTGCAGGCCATCCAAGACATCACACGGAACAAAGACATCGACCCCGAGGAAATCGTCTCGCTCATATTTGAGAGGATTGATGTGAAAGGAGAAGGTAATAAAGACAGCTGAGCCCAGCTCAGATAGTAAACTCTGTAACTCCTCTCTGCCAGATCTGGACCAAAGTCGCATGACAGCCAACAATCAACCAAATAATTAGTAAACGACACAGTTGAAGATCCGACCTACACCCCAAACGACTTCCCACTATATAATTGATGGGCAGCTCTTCCACATTTTGGTCTGTGTTGTGTTTAAGAGGCATTTTGTTTATTAAATTATGGATTCTGACCTCTGACCCTGCAGGTGAGCTGACCCTGGAGGAGTTCATCGAGGGAGCCAAAGACCATGAAGATATCATGGACATGCTGAAGACCCTGATGGACCTGACGCCGGTCTTACTGATCATTATTGAGGGCCGGACGGGGAACAACCAATGAGAGAAACGTGGAAGCAGTGAGCTGTGATTGGCCGTTTGGACAGGTTTAACATTACAGAGAGGAAGCCTGGCTGATTTTCATGTGAAGAAGGTCACGATGGACTCTGTGAGCTGCATCTGCCAACCCCCTCCTGCTGTAGGTCCCCCTGGACCAGGAGTTTGTGGTGCCACCAAGTCTTTCTCTTGTATGTGCTATATGTATGGAACCAACACCACTGCAGTGGGAACAAGGTCTTCATATTCCTTTGCCATAGAGAACCTCATTTCATCCAACATTTTGCTAATTTCTGCTTCAACTATTTAGAAAATGTGTCGCACTGACGCTGGACTGAGAATCAGAAAGTTGAGATACCTGAGGTTGAGTTTTAACAGCAGCATTAATAAAAACTACTACCAATAATAATAATAATAATGATAATAACTAATAGTAATAATTCTTCTAATTACTACGAGCTTTCAGAAAAACTTTAAATCTTTTCAACATCTCAACATCAAAGATTTTCGCCCCAGATTTATTCATCTGACTTTGATCTATACGAAAAGCATCAAGCTACACTTTCTGCAAACAAACAGTCCATCAATACTGAGACCGAAGCACATTAAAAGGACCTGAACTGTGGCTATGCATCCATGTCTGAGAATACTGCTACAGCGATTTGTGTGCTAATAGTTTTTGTAATACTGAGACAGTGATTTGGAGAAGGTGCTGTCTCTGTGAGCCGGGAGATTACCGTACAGCTGATCCTCTTAATGCTGCCAAAGGATCTGATTCTTCCTCTGGAGGAGGCTTCATCATCTTTAACCCCCACACAGGTTCATGTCTTTGAGGACAAAACTAAATGTTTCAAACACATCCTGCAGCCGTGATGTGTTTAACACACAGTCTGTGGGGTCGATAAATCCACTTTCCATATCAGAGCGAAGCGGTGCATTCAGGGACCAAAGCTGCTCCATCAGCTCAATTGGCAGCAGGCCAGTCCAAAGGTCCACTCGGGTCAGGCCGGACCAAACTGGGGCGCCTGAGGGCAGAACAACCTATCATCTCACTCACAGTGGAGGACTAAGCACATTTACTCAAGTACTATGCTTGACCTCATTTGTATGCCACTATCTACTGCTCTGCTTCTCAGAGAGAAGCTTTGTACTCCTCCCAGTGAACCAAGCTAACACATCAAAGCCTCAACATGATATTAATGAAGATGTGAGCACCCGCACACTTCCTCAGATTTAGTGAAAGAGACCAAAAGAGGACTCAATGAAATTGTGCTTTTTGAATGAGAATTAGAAATGGCATCTAGTGGCCATTGTTGGAATTGCACTTTTATTCATTCCTGCACTGGTTTCAGTAGCACTACCTACAGATGAAACAACTTTTTACCCACTGATCACTTTCTTCTGAATCTACTGAAAGGTTCAGCAGGTTTATGTAGATGACTGTCCTGCTGTCTTCAGTTAAACGTAGTGAACAGGTGCACATTTCCACCATTTTGGAGTGGAATTATTATACCTGAGGATGTGTCATTAATGAAGGGTGGAGGACAGTTAAACAGAGGAATCTCAAATATACAACATATCCAATGATTTTATCACCGTTATGAAAACCGTATATCAAAAACAAGTTTTCTGGTCATTTCAGGAGAAAAAACCTTTGGGGTAGAGTAGAGTTTAAACAGGAAGACATCTGCTGTATAGACTGTACAGTGTTGTAAGGTATGAGAGGTCCTGTGTCCCGGACAAGCCCCCAAACATGTTATAACTTCAAATTCAAAGGCACACGGAAAACCTAATATGAGTTGTCACCATGCTGCTGCTGTTATATTAATGAAAATAAAGTTACTTTCAAAGGAAAAACAGATAAACAAAAGACAAAGAAGGCTGTGAACCAACCATCTGCTTCCTATCTAACCAAAAACTGAAGACTGTGGGTAACTCCCAGCTCAACTCATAATACAGAGAACTACAAAAGCAACAAAACGTAACGCCAGTGAGGGAGGATGACTAAGACGCTAACTGCCAACCTTCATGCTCCGCCTTCCCTGGCTTCATATCTGTGTGGTGGTTCATCTGCAGCTAGTCAGCACTAATAATAAATCAAAGAGAAGAGAGCAGGTTAATGAGAAGGATTAGGTATAATAACAGGATGATGGACATGTCAGCACACTGAGTAACGTTAGCGTAAATTAAGAGTATCCATCCACAGGATACACACCAACAGCAGGCGTTTAGATGAAGTTTGCATTCACCTACGTGTGAAAAATAAATCAGACATAAGCAAAATTTGGGAAAAGGGGAAAAAAACCAGAGGTGGCTGCATACACAGTCTACAAGATATCGATCATAACCTTTTTATCGATTTTTGCAAAACACGGTCGGCATAATGATCAGCTCAGCTGCACGAATCAGGAGGGTTTTTTTTATAAACCACTTTTTCCACTGCACCCTCTAGTGGACTCTCACAGCAATACATATGCTATAAGTTTAAAGGCCAAGCACACTACCGGCCTAGTTTTGCGCGACAGGTCGCTCGATTGAATGTTTTAAATGTTTTTATTTTTACAAGGTGACATGTGTGACCACGTCAGGAGGGTCTGAGGATGTCTGGCTAAGCTAACAGGTCCTACTGTGCAACAGATTTTTATGGTGAAAATGTGTCCTGTAAAATCTTCAGTCCTAACCACTCACGTATTGTGCTGCCTTATCAATAAAGCTTTTAAGCAATCTGTGTGCTTTTCATTTAGCCCCATTAAAGAATGTATAAAAAACCCAAACAATGTGTTTTCATTTTTTAAGAACCTTTATCGATACTTTGCTGGCAAAAATGTCAAAAACAATAAAGTTTTGTACTTTGATCCAATAACGCGATGGCACTCCAGCTGTTTACAATCTCAGAGCAGCTGGATGGACTTACTGATAATGATGATGATGAGTAGTTGTTCAGTTTTGTGTCTCTCATGAAGCACATGATTAAAATCAATTGAGAGTCAGGTGAAGGGGTCTTCCTGTCGCAGATTTGTTGTTTTTTATTCTTCAAATCCAACGTGGTGAAGTCCAGCTTCTGATTTACAGTAAGTCCAGTGGAACCCCTGAGGAACCACCCAGGAGCCTGCTGGGTGGATGATTATTAGCTAAAGCTTAAATATCATAAAGCCTGGTAGTGGGGGCTTCAGTTCATGTGCTGAAACAGCTGTTGGTGCACATTTAAAGTTTCCTGTTCCTGTTTTTTTGGTCTCCCTACCTCTGCCTCATTTAATTATGTTTTAGCTTGATTATATATTTTAGTGTATAAAGATGTTTGAATGTTGAAGTGATCCTGTCACTTGTTTTGTTTCTTGTCTTTGACAGTTTTCAGCTGCGCTGATGTTACTGTGGTTGTAAATCTGCAGATACATACGGGGACTGACTGAACTGGTCGTGTTTCTGCCTCACCAAAGATGAGCGCTGTGCTTTTGTGAGTAGTTGATAAGTGGTTGTGCCTTTGGACAAATGAATACACAAACGAGGAGTTCTTATACAGCAGGATGCCAAACTCAGACCTGCTGTGGGAACAACGTTTGAATCTTTGGCCCTTTATCAAAGTCAGAGTGCAACACACACAGATTTGTTCATCTTTTAATTAAACAATCAGACAAAGCTGCTAAAAACATTGTGGGTGCAGCTTTTGGTCCACTCGAGTTCTTTGCACCAACACGACTCTCTCACTGCCGCTCGCCCTTTCTGCAGTTTTGGGTGGAGTTACAGTCGGGTTCTTCCTCGCAGCTCCAGCCTCTGTCAGAGCTTCAGCTCCTCTCACTGCTGCTCAGAGGACGTCTCAGAGCGCCTCCTGCTGCATCCTCAGCTCACTTTCAGCCACTTCCTGCCACCCGTCCCCGTGAGCAGTCATGTTGGTGCCTTGCTCGGAGGCAGAGGTATTGGGGATCGAACCCGCGACGTGTCACAGCAGTTTAGGCTTGTCCTCCCGTTGCAGCAGCAGGCTGGCATACAGGCGCAGGAAGGCGTAACAAACTCCCATGGCGCAATACACCGAAGTCACCAGCAGGGGGAGGAAGGGCAGCCTCTGCTGCCACGGCGACAGCGGGAAGACAACCTCACAGGCGATCGCCACGGCAACCAACCCCAGCAGGTAGATAACCTCCAGAGGATGGAGCAGAAACCCCTGAGCACTGAGGGCAGAGTAATCCGATTACTTTAAAATACTAAAAGTAAAGTACTTTAAGGTATCCAAGTAGTAACTACACTATACTGTAGTAGTGTTTGTGTTTACCTGTGGAGCTTTCTGAGAGCAGTGAAGGAGAAGATGCTGAACATCAGCATGAGCACCACCTTAAAGGGCAGCTCTGAAAAACACACCATCATCATCATCATCATCTAAACGCAGTAATGTTGAGTCTGTTGCACGCTGGAGCCCCTGGCGAGCGGCGCTCTCGTGCGTTTCTGCTAGCTGAACAAACGTAATGATTAAACTACTTCCTGTTTACCTGCGGGCGTGAAGAGCAGCGGGAACAGGGAGTAGTGACCTGTGGTGGTCAGGATCAGGAAGATCCCAGCATCCTCTCTGTTCTCCACCGCCAGGATGCTGCGGGAAGAGAAACAAGGCGAAATCGTTTAAACCGCACCGTCAGCTGATGACATCATCATGTGACAGGACGGGTCGGCGCTCACCTGAGGGGAAGGATGGCGATGAGGATGGCCTTCTCGTGGACATGCCAGCCAAACATGAAGGAGCCCAGAGCGCAGAGCAGCAGGCAGCGTAGGAAGCCCCGAGCACCGCAAGGGCGGAGCCAGATGGATGCAGCCGCCGGCTTCAGAGAAGAGGAGGAGATCGGGCGTTAAAGCGTGACCACACCCACACGTGAACACAATCGGGTTCAGCTCAGGGTCTCAGTGTCCAGCTCGACTCACCAGGATGGACAGCAGCGTGCAGACGAGCGTGACGGTGGGCGTCACGGAGGGAAGGACCGAGTGCTCAAACTCCTGAACCAACCCGCCTGTCATGGACGCCAGGGGAAGCTCCGCCTCCTTGAGCAGCTTCAGGCGAACACCTGGAGGAAAAAAAAAAAAACAGAACGCTCAGACCTCCATCCGCCTCCTCCGCATCATGATGCTTGGTTTTAATGTCCTGTAAACAGAGGGGGCGGAGCCTCACCGATCACCGCCAGGGTTTTGTCCAGCACGTTGTACAGCGCCCAGATGTTCGGCGCCCAGTAGGCGTGACAGAGACCGCGCTTAAAGGGGAAGAGCCTGGAGAGCACCTGAGGGAGCTGCCCCTGAAAGGCAAACGAGCATCGTCAGGTCATGGCGCCGTCGAGCGACCTTCAGTAAAAAACAAAAACAAAAAAACAAACACTGCGGTGACCTCTCACCATGGCGATGAAAGGGCCAAAGGACAGAGCGCAGACAGAGGTCACGATGGCGCCCAGAGCCAGCAGGCGCAGCAGGCTGAAACTCGACCACCTGATGGAGCCGTCTGCAAAATAAACACGTGGTCAGTAGTCCGGCACAGACGCAGTACCCACTCACACCAGCAGGAGGAGCCATGGGTTGGACCTCACCTTTGTTGTCCTGAGTGAAGCAGTAACTCCTCAGCAGGTAGACGCCGTACGCTGGGGCCACGTACAGGTAGATATGCTTCAGGTTGAGCAGGAAGGCGAACAGCAGCGCCCCCTGCAGGTGCTGAGACTGAATCACACAGGCGATGCGTCACAATCACTTTTTTCTACTCTTGGAACTGTATGATGTCACAGAGAGAGGACAGATTCTCCACCCACTTGGGGGAGGAGCCAAAAGTGCTCATTTCAGACAGAGAATGAGGCTTATTCTGAGCTGTGAATCATTCTAAGCTGCTTGGGAGAGTCTCAGAATGAAGGCAGCTGAGTGTGAGCACAGCTTGTACCTGCAGGTGTTTGGCCACCGACAGCAGCAGGAACCCGAACAGGAAGCCGTTATACTGGAAGTGAATATCTGAGGTGGGAGTGAAGGAAAAACCAGCACTCGACCAAAACATTAGGAACACAACATCCACGACACAAGCATAGAGACGATGGAGCTTTTTATCACAGGCTGAAACTGCTCAGGCTGACGGATTGCTCCGTGTAAATGTCGTCACTTTGTCACCTTAAATAGATTTGGTGTAATTAGTGGGATTACAGCCTTGGTTCACTGTAAAGAGTTCATGACAAACACCTAATTGTTCTTTAAATGTCACATTAGTGGATGTTGAGCAGGACGCGTTCAGCTCCGTTTCCCTCTGACCGCATTAAAAACTTTTCCAGGGTGGCGTTCACGCCGCCACCGCACGGAGGCTGGCAGTTTAACGCACAGGCAGAGCTGCAGGATACGATCGACGAGGAGGAGGCCGAAGTTCCACAGCAGCAGCACGGCCAGGACGAAGGACGGCTGGCTCAAAATGTCCCGAGATCCCTTTGGCTCCCGAACGCACCTGCAGCACCTGGAGGAGGAGGACAGAGCCAATCAGGACGCAGGAAACAGCTGTGTCAGAAGCTCCAGCTGTTTCCCGGGGACACACTCACTCTCTGGCGGCGTAGATGAAAACCACGTCGGTGACGATCACCGACAGCCTCTGGAACAGCACCGTGGCCGGGCTGGCGTAGTTCAGGTTCTCCACCTGCAGCATGTTTGCGTCAAAGCTGCGCGCCACCTGAGACAGCCCGAACTCGAACCAGGCGAACAGCGGCGGGTAGTCCAGGGTCCACTCGGACGTGTTCTGCAGGAGAGAAAGCGCCTCGTGAAACATCAGCGAGCTTTCCCACCGCCTCCCACAGGTGCTTTTATTTTACAGGTGAGTGTGGGCTCCTCCTCCCTCACCTCATAGTACCACCTGGACACGGGCAGGCTGTGCGTGATGGCCAACCAGTTCCTGTGCACCTCAAAGTCCGTCGACCGGCTGAAGACACACACACACACACACACACACACCCCAGTTTAACAGACCAAGCTGGACAGATAGAGGCTTCAGCTTTAAACACGTTTGACCTCCACCTGAGGAGCACCACCTGCACCAACAGTGACCATACACATGTTCATCTCAAGGACAGCAGGTGTGCGCTCCGTCAGTAACACCTCAACTGTCAGAGGATCAATCTGAGCTAATGTACTCAAACACTCTCATTTCTTAACTTCACATGGACACAAAGGTCACATGTCTCAGGGTTAAAGGTCACCGGCTCACCTCTCAGTACACTGTGGACCCCTTTATTAGGTGTTTTACAGAGCACAGAGGTGTTAGCAGGGCTGGATTCATGCCGAATGTGTCAGTGTTTTAAACTGACTCCGCTTATTTAAAAAGATCCGATTCATCCGCTGTGCTCACAGAAAGACACGCGCGATGGTTTTAATCGGGAGATTTCCCGCAGGGATCCGGTCCTCACAGACGCGGCACTGCGCTTCATGAGACGTTCGCGGGCTCTGAGCCTCCTGACACTCGTTAGAGCTCAGTAGACCCGGCAGAGTGACTTATGACGCCCGTTGCATCCCGGGTGTACCTGTACGGTCAATCACCTGTGTGAAACGTCATCAAGGAGCGCCAAAACGAAGCTCTAAAGAAAAACGGCGTATCCCTGAAGCCCAGCCTGCAGCTGATGACGGCTCGGGTTCAAGTTCAAACAAACTCGGATTTCACACGAAGTCAAACTAAACGATCTCATCCGCGCACAGCTTCCCGCACGCACCCGCGCAGACCCCTCACTGTTATCGCGTACAGGAAATGACGTTAACGTGGCTAATAACCGCGGTGACACTGAGGAAGACTTGGGACTCACTACGCGCTGATGAAGAAGCACTTCAGCAGAGAAACTCCCACAGCTAACGCCGAGAACCAGCTGCAGCTGTCCGCCGCCATGACAGTCGGCCTGCTGACGTCTGCTTCAAACTTTATTGACAAAGCCGAGGAGGACAGTTCCTCAGTGAACTTTAATTATTTGTTGTTGTTTTTATTTATTTATTTTTAAACAGAGTTTGAACAGAGTCCTCAGTCCTGTTTCTGTTTTGTTTAGATATTTATGTAAAAAAAAAAGTTCGCTTTTATAATGATGCTTTAAATGTCGACAGGTAAAGTCGGAATTCTGAGCTTCGTCTGTGCTAGACTTAAATGTCACACACTGAAGTTTCCTCCCGCGTTTAAAACCTTTCAGTTCATTAAAAGAAAAACTTAAGTTTCAGAGAAGAAAATGAAAACTATTTAAACTTCTCTTTATTTCTGTTTTTAAATAGTTTTGTCATTTCTGATTTTACTTCTCTTTTCTTAAATGTTCTTATACTTTTTGTCCCTTAGTTCCTCTTTCTGCACCACATCTGATCATCCACCTCCATCTCCTCTATCCCAGCATCCTCCTCTGTCACACCAACCCTCTGCATGTCCTCCTTCACTACATCCATGAACCTCCCCTGAGCTCCTCCTCTCCTCCTCCTGCCTCCACCCTGTCTCCTCTGTAGATGTCCAAACCACGTCAGCCTCTGTCTTTGAGCAGTCCCTCTGATGGACTCGTCCTGCTCATGGCAAATTAATATCTGAACACTTCCAGCAAATACACCGATCTGTCATATTTCATCATCTTTAACTGTTTTTGCATAAAGTTTGTTGCATGTAAACATCTGAGTGCTTCAGTTCAAACTGAAGAAGCACCGACGGCGCTGACATCCTCACCAGTCTGCACCAGCCGGGGGCGCTGTCTCCTCAACTGTCACGGTGTTTTCTGTGACCCACAGTCCCTGAATGCAGCATGGGTAGGGCCTGCTCCTTCCTCGGTGTGACAGTTTCCGGTTTGTGAGCGCTGTGTGTATTTGTGCGTAAACACTCCAAAGTGTGTAAGTAAACGTCACAAAAACTCTGAAATCACAGCAGCTTCCGGGATGAACGTGCTCATGAGGAGGTGTTTCCGGCAGCGGGTGGTCACGTGGAGAGGTGAGGCTGAAGCAGAGGACCCCAAAAATCAGACAGACTCACCAAATCACCGCAGACACGCTGGTTTCCGGTCACTGTGACGTTTCTGTGTTTACTAGTTCATACTTCGGTCATAAATCTGGACCCAGTCAGTAATGAAGGACAGCCAATCAGAGTCCAGCTCCAGAAGCGTTTACACTGTGATCTAGCTCACCTGGTTAAATTGTATCACATGTCTGCATTGTTAGGGGCGTGGCCTGTGTGTGTGTACAGCCTTTGTGTGTGTGTGTTTTAAAGGTCTCCATGTGGGGGCGCCGCTGACGACCTTCGATGTGAGGAAGGTTGAGCTGACGCCGCTGGAGCAGCGCAAACTGACGTTCGATTCCCACGCCATGGTCACAGAGCTGCAGAGCAGCGGTGAGGTCACTGTCAGGCGTGTCGGCGTGTAGTACCGGCTGTAGCACGGAGTGCTCATCGAATATTTTTGTGCAGGTTTCGAGAAGAACCAGGCGGAGTTGATCGTCTCAGCTCTGGTCACTCTCGCCACGGCCAACATGGATGTCGTTTACAAAGACATGGTGACCAAATCCCATCAGGTGGGAACCAGAGACGAGCTCCACCCTCGAGCTGTTTCCACAGAGTTACAGACTTTTCTTTCTTTAGGAGATCGCCCTGCAGCAGATCATGGCTCACCTGGACTCTGTCAGGAAGGACATGGTGATCCTGGAGAAGAGCGAGTTCGCTAACCTGCGATCGGAGAACACGGTACGTCGGCTTTACTTCTCATTTTCTCCAATCGTCCAGTATTCCTGCCTAACATCTGGACACCTCCTCGAGTCTGTCAGTTAGTGTGTTACTCGGATTTGTTAAATATGTGGAAGTTTTTGTAGGAAGTTCATCAGCTGATGGTGGAGCTCACATTTCGACCTGTCAGTGCACCTTAATAGACGTAATGAAGCTTCTGGTTCCTGGGACCATAACTCCGGGTTAGGACTAAAGAAGAAGAAGAGTTGGTGCAGGCGTCCCACAGGGCTCTGTTCTCAGTCCTCTTCTGCGTCACATTCAGCCACAATGTGTCTGATGATGTTACACGTGCTGGACTCTCGTCCTAGTCTTTAGATTAACAAAGAGACAAAAGCATCTGCAGGTTGTTCTGGATCGTCTCTGCAGCGTCCCGACTTTCTAAAAATCTTTTTGTTCCTGCAGAAAATGAAGCGAGAGCTGGAGCAGCTCCAGAACCGGCTGAAGGTGAGAGTGATGATCCCATGTGGGCTTGACCAGGCTGAAACATCCAGACCCTGGGTGAGGTCCCTGCTGTAACACGACGTGTCTGCTGATGTGTTTTATCTCCAGGAGGAGAGCAAGAAAATGATGGCAGAAACCAAACTGGACATCAACCTGGAGAGGAGCAGGGTCTCCGACATGGTGAGGCTCGCGAGGAATTTACCACAGGAACAGCGGAGCTTTAGCAAAACGCATCGGGCGGTTCGTCCGGCCGCTCGCCACTCGCCTCGGCTGCTTAAAGGTTCCGTTTGGGTAAATTTAAAGGAACGTGGGCACGTGACGCGTCTCTGAAGCTGCTTTCATGTTTTTGTCTCAGTTCACTGAGCAGGAGAAGAAGCTGATGGAGGCCACGTCAGACTTTCATCACAAGGTGAAAACAACAGCTGCAGTACTGATGCTGTAAAGTACCCGTTGGTTAGCTCTGCAGGGCCATTGGTTGTTTTAACTGATGACATCACATCACGTGTGTCTCGTGCTCAGAGATCCGAGCTGGAAAACGACAACATGGAGATCAACAGGAAGCTGGACCTGCAGGTGGCCTCGCTGAAGACGCTGCTGGAGTCCCTGAAACTGCAGACGATCCGCTACCTGGCAGGTGAGACGGCAGCCGTGCTTCTGTGCGTCTGCGATGGCGTGAAGACGAACACTTTAGTCTGACGCCGTGCTGCTGCCTGTCAGCACAACATTTTACATCTGTCCTCAGAGAAACACCAGTTTTCTTCTCTGTGTGGACAGCAGGGGGCGCTGTAGTACACAGAGTGCAGCTGTACCTACATGTGTAAGTGTGTTGCTACCCTGTGAACTTTTACACATTGTGTCACTTTACAACCACAAACTTAATGTTTAATTTCTGTGACAAAGCAGCACAAAGCAGCACATAACTGAAGTGGTGTGAAAACGATGCACGCTTCACGCAGTGTGCGTTTGTATCCGTGTCGTACTTTGAGCCACGTTTCCTTTGCGGTTCGTCTCCACCAGCTCTGCACAGCTGCAGGCTGCATTTCTGCCTGTTCTTTGTTTTAAAGCAGCTCGACTTCAGCCAGACCGGACGCAGAGCGTCTGTGAACAGCGGTTTCTAAGTGTCGCCACAGACGCTCGGTCGGCTTCAGGTCTGGACTTTGACCGTCCTAACACGAGTACTCTGATCCAGGTCCCTCTGGAGCTCTTGCTGTATGTTGAGGCTTCCCAGTCTCAAGTCCTCGAGCTTTGGTCTCGTCTGAGCAGAGCACCGTCTCCCATGTTTGCTGTGTCCCTGCACGACTCCTGGCAAACTGCAGACGAGACTTTTTATGTCTTTCTGTCAACAAGGGCTTCTTCTTGCCACTCTTCCATATCTCCACATAGATCTGTGCCGTCCATGACTTCCAGTTGTCCTGTGGACAGACTCTCTCTGAGCTGTGGGTTTCTGCAGCTCCTCCAGAGTGACCGTGGGCCTCGTGGAAGCTTCTCTGACCAGTGCTCGCCGTGCTCGCTCTGTGTCTTGGTAGGTTTGCAGTTGTAGGAAAGTTTTTCCATTTTTGGATGATGGATTGAACAGAGAGATGTTCAAAGCTCAGGATATTTTATATGAGCTAACTCGTCTTCATCCCTGAGCTGTGTGGTGCCTTCACTGATGCTCTCTAACAAACCTGTGAGGCCTTCACAGAGCAGGTGTGTTTATAATGAGACTAAATCACACACAGGTGGACTCTGTGCTCTAAAGCAGCGGTCCCCAACCCCCGGGCCTCGGACCGGTACCGGTGCGCGAGTCGTTTGGTACCGGGCCGCGAGAGTTGAGGCTCAGGTGTGAAATGTTTGGTTTTCAGGGTTTTTATCGTTTTCAGCGTTATTTTGTTATCGTTTACTCGGTTTTACTGTGTTTTACTGGTTTTATTTCGTTGTATTTATCCGCGACACCTTAAAGGTCGGTCCGTGAAAATAATGTCGGGCATAAACCGGCCTGTGGCGCAAAAAAGGTTGGAGACCGCTGATCTAATAAGCGACTTCTACGGGGGGCTGATTGCACTGAGTACAGGGGCTGGATACAAACACACTTCACATTTTTATTTGGACATCATGTATCGTCTTCGTACCGCTTCACAGGTATCTGCTACTTTCTGACTAAATGTGTCAAAGTTCACGGCGTATAAATACTTCCTCATCACGCTGTGTACAGCCTGTGTGATTCAGTCTCTCCATATAAAAACGTTACAGTGAAATCAGAGGACGTAGCGTCGTGTTTAGCTGACTCTGATGATGCAGCGTGAGGTAGCGAGTCACAGATCGTACGGTGATGTCAGCAGGCGACGCGTCCTGATGGGACTGAAGGCTGAACACGATCTAAAACCATCACAGTTTGGTCCATGAACGGATCCCTGTGGAGCTCCTGCACTGACGGCTCAGGAACCTGAAACCTGCCGCCTTAAGGTGGAATAAAAATGGTCCTAAAATCACGCCCTGTGGCACGCCATGTTAGCACGCCACGTTAGCACGCCATGTTAGCATGCCATGTTAGCACGCCATGTTAGCACTCATGAAGCTGGACTGTTACCCATCAGCCACCACAGGTGGATGAGCCGCAGCGCTCCGACCACACGTAGAACCTGATTTCTATCGTGCTAAAACCTGATGATGAACTTGCTTCTTTCAAACTTCAGACAGACACCAAACTCATCTTTACAAACGTCGGCTCTGAATTTATATCCAAGTTCCAGCAGCGCGAGAATCAAATTTTGCTGTTTTTAATTTGGAGGTTTGAATGAAGACCTGACTTTCACTGTTTCAGTAACGCTGATCGAACGCTCTGCTCCTCCTCAGCCACCCTCTTCTCCTGCCTCGCCATCGCTCTGGGACTCTACCGCCTCTGGAAGTGAACGAGTGACTCGTCTTCATCCACCACACAAAGTAGTTCCAGAAGAAGAAAACTCTGATATTTCATCTGAGCCCAACAGAGTGAAAATACTCAGAATCAGCAACATGTACTCAGAGTATCCAAAGTAGAAGTACTCAGTATATACGGCATACTTTCTTTATATTTCAGAAGGAGCAGCACAGAGTAAAAGTACTCTAAAAGTACCCGAGTTACCAGCTGATTGTACTGTTGCTGAGGTAGAACTTTAAATGAATGGACTCAAACACTAGTTTAAATGTTTTTTATAAGCTGTCTTAAACACTTTTGTTAATAAAGTTTTAATTTTGAGTTCAGAAACATAAAGTCTGACATTTCTGGAGCCGCAGAAACAAAACCGTCAGCGTGAGTTTGTGTTGATCTGCTCTGAGGTCTGACAGTGAATAAAGCCTGGAAGAAAAATGTCTGTGTTATTAACAGAGATGAAAACACTGTGTGGCTCTGAAACGAGACAGTAAGTCACTACGCAAAGTTT